TGTGTGTGTGTGTGTGTGTGTGTGTGTGTGTGTGTGTGTGTGTGTGTGTGTTTGTGCTTGTCTGTCTGTCAGTCGTTCATATTCAGGCATACACATATACACAGGGCAGGTCATTCCTCGCACACGTCTGATCCAGAGAGGACACCTCTATGTATTCCAAGAATGCTTGATTTAAAACACTTTTTCATCAAAAGAACCAGTATTACCTTGTAATCTGCTTTCTAACTGCAGAGGGACAGTACATCAATAGACCACGATATATTCCCACTTTACGTTTAGATCGACAGTGCACTGATATATCCTGCTTAAACGGCATGGTGTGGTTGAAAAAATAAATAAACGTGACCCCCCCCCCCAAAAAAAAAGGTTGATTTTGTAGTGCGGGCGTCAATCTGGTGATGGTTTAAAATAAAATTGTTCCGGATATTTAAAAAAAATGTTATGCTCTTTTGTAATTGGCTGTTGTTTGCTGATTGCTTTCGTTTATTTCTGTTTGTTTGAGAGAATATTATATTGCTTTTGTTCTTGTTTGTTCGTTTTTATTGTTTGATTCATTTTATTTGCGGTTTGTTTGATAAAAAAATGTTTGCGGTTATTGTTTGTTCGTTTTGCTTGGGTGATTTGGTTCTTTTTGGAAGGGGTCTGTTTTGCACCTTTTTGTTCAAGTGTAATCAGTCACGCACCCTTTAAGCTTTACTGCTTTCTCGGTTTATTTTGATAGGTATCAATATCAATTTATGTCACAGCCCAGTATCATCTTTTTGAATGCCAAAATGTGTAATTTTTTTCATATTTTTTCCAGATTATTATCTAGCTTTTCACCCCACTTTCCCTCTTCTCTGCTTTTTCTACTTTTCATATGATTCTTTTTCAATTTTAATTTTAAAACTACTTTTACTTGAATGTCATTTCCTTCCTCTTATTTCTTTCCTTCCCCTTTCGTTGTCTTACAAAATGCAATTTCTTAACTCTGATTTTTACCTTACGCTTCTTTTACTTCCCATTTCCGTTTGGATATTCAATCGAATAGCCTTTTGTTTCTTTTTGTATAAAGTGCTCTTCAAATAATATTTCACACACACACACACACACACACACACACACACACACACACACAC